TGTCATTGACAGTGACAGGGACAATGAGAATGACAATGACAGTTACAGTGATAATGACAATTACTACAGTGACAATGACAGTGACAATGACAGTGACAATGACAGTGACCATGACTGGGACCATGACAGTGTCCCTGAGATCGATTATGTCATTGACAGTAACAGTGATAGTGACAACGACAGTGGCAGTGACACTGACAATGACAATGACAGTGAATGGTGACTGTGAAAATATCCGTGAGATCGATTATGTCATTGACAGCAACAGTAATAGTGACAGTGACAGTGGCAGTGAGATTGATAATTAGAGAATGAAATACAATGGCGATGAGAATGACAATGAGAATGACAGTGAGTATAATTAGTGACAAGGACAGTGGCAGTGACAAGGACAATGACAGTGGCAGTGAGAATATTAGTTGCAAATGTCAGTGACAATAGCACTGACAGTAAAATGACAATGACATGTATAGTATAAGGTTTTACGGCGCTCGCAACTGCTAAGGTCATATGAGCGCGCGAATGACAATGACAGTCATAATGACTTTAACATTGACCAGAATAATGACCTTGAGAATGTGAGTGACAGTGCGATGACAGTAACACTGAGACTCATTGTACTCTTTGCTGTTGCTTTTAAAAATTTTAATAGAATATTTACGCCTCTTCCCTGTATTTATTTCGCTCCTCTTTTTACGTGCTTTTCTTTTAAAAATACGTGTACCATTGTTTTGAAACCTGTTTTCGTTTGACTTCTCCCTTTCCATCTAACTTCTGAAAAACCTATAATATTGCATTTCAGAAACAGAAAATAAGATATACAAAACAGCGAAAAAAAGATTAATAAAAATGTGTCAACTTTGTTCGTGTGTCCAGGATTGGCACTTACGCTAAAATACAGAAACATTTGGCTAAATATAACCTCAGGCATTTAAACATGAAAATTGTTGAAATGAAAATGTCGTCGGCTGCGGCTTAGCCTCAGATAATTGGGAGACTGCGAAACTTTTTTCACACAGATTGAAAGTGAAAAGATTTAGTTCTTTTAGTTGTTGCTTTTTTTTATTACTGGGAGAGTTGAGTGGATGTAAAAGAAAGTGGTCGTGTCTTTGTGTGTAAGTGCTTTCATTCCAAGTGTGAGAGATGCAAAATGAAGATGGATTTGTTTGTCTGTCTGTTTGTTTGTTGTTGTTGTTGTTGTTGTTATTATTCTTTTGTTAATTGGTTTGTTTTAATGTTTGTTTGTGTATTTATGTGTGTGTTGTGCTTGTACATATTTTAGTGTGATTTTTATGCTTGTGTATTTGTAAGCGTGTATAAGAGAGAGAGTAAGAGAGAGAGAGAGAGAGAAAGAGAGAGAGAGAGAGAGAGAGAGAGAGAGAGAGAGAGAGAGAGAGAGAGAGAGAGAGAGAGGGGGGGGGAGCTTTTTAAAATTCTCTCAAACTCCTCTAGATTTTTTTTTTACTTTACCACTCCGTCTTCTACTTGGGATTCGAACCAGAGTCACCCGTTACAAAGTCAAACATGCTGTTTTTTAATTAAACAACAATATTATAATATAATCATTTATAACCCGGTGCTGCTTTGGTGATTTGGTGATCATTACAAACTGTTTGTTGTTACATTCATTACTTTTTTTTTTCTTTACCATGATAACTTCCTGCAGTAGCTAGCAAGATCTCTACCTTCTCTTGACCCTTGGTTGTTACAGATAATCTTTAATGTATGCTGGACGACATTATATAAATACTTACTTGTTCCCCCGAAGGCTGGAACAACAGACATAGGGTACAGGCTTATGTTGAGAGGCTTTGGAAGAAGTTCCTCTCTAGTATACTTCTCTGGGATAAGAAAAAGATGGGGGTGGAGAAGAAAACTGAGGTAATCACTTTAATTAGTTCTTTACAGGATTGGGGGGGGGGCTATGGGATAAGGAGGAGCCTTTTATACAATTCTGATGTCATAATACAGCATTCACAGAGACAATACCGTAATGACAGCATACACTGAAACAACACACTCTTACAATGCACACACCGGACACACACAGACACGTGGGGGGCCTGTGCCTCCCGTATCCACACACACACACACACACACACACACACACACACACACACACACACACACACACACATACACAAGGGAGGTACCCGGACTAATAAAAGGGGCATTAGAAAAAATTGACATATTATACTCTAGTG